GATGATGGTCACCTCATCCCGTGCTGGTTGAGGATCGCCGTCTGATCATGCACGCGCTGTCACACCGGACTTCATGACGAGTCTCACCCCGAACCGATGTCTTCCTGTGCTCTTCCAGCCTGATTGGCAGAGGGCAGCGCATCTCTCCTTTGTAGGACCTACCACAGCTGCACGGTATGTCGCATTGCAGTTCTCCGTATGTTCCTTACGTGTCGGTGGCCTGGCTTGGGAAGTACTCTCCGGAGCGTGAAGCTGCTTCTGAAGACTACCCTGACATTGCATCTAATACCTGACGATGGCCGGAAGTCAGCTAGCCTAAACGTTGTGTAGATTGTACCATACCTGACGAGGACGAAAGTCCGCACAATTATTCCATGCGTGATGCGAACACCTCGGCTGAATCGTTTCGTAAAGCTGGTGTCAAATCACTCACCTTCGGGTTTGTTTCCAGATCCTGCCGGAAGGTCCTGAACTCGTCTTTCACGGACTCAGGAAGAGTGGGAGCAGCGATGTTTGGTGTTTGCGCACATGCTTTCAAGTTATATTTCTTAAGTGATGGCTGGATTTGGAGACTGGTGAGTCCCGGCTTTTTAGCGACGAGGTTGGTAAACTCGCTGACGTTTTTGATGTCTGTTATGAAAGGTTTGAAAAAACGGAAGCATTTAGGGGTGATATTGGTTTCAATAAACTTGGCTATGTGGCTTTGTTGGTCTTATGGCCGGACCGGCTAAGTTAAGACCACAGCGTATCGTGTTCGAGGCAAGTCTATGGGATGGACAGCGTTAAGATCACTTAAGATTTGCGTATGGTGCGTTCGCCAACACCATGCAGCTGGGCTCATGTTTCTTCTCGCTCTTGTTACTGAGATCTGGCACAAATTCTTGAAAGACTTCAGTACAGTAGAAGGCAGAACCGTGGATTGTGCATCATTAAGCGAAAAAGTCTGTACATATCGGCCGGCATTTTTTACCCGTATGATTTTTTAGTCGCAATCAGTTCGTGTGACGTCATTGAGACGTCTGGTGGTCGAGATCTGGACCTGCGCCCGACTCGTGTTTTTCAGCCTTTTCACGGGTGGAAAACTCTTCCGTATGTTCCTCGAGCGGGTAGCTGAAATAGTGGTCACATTGCAACATCGTGGAAATATACCGCATGAACAATGCTTGCATCAAGTGCGTTAGTAATGACGCAGCACAATTTTTAAGAAATAGTGTCACTCGATGCCTTAGCCTCCATGCGTGAGTGTCGAGCCGAGCCGTTGAAGACACCCCACTGATAGCAAGAGTCATGGGGATCGTGACCGAACGCAGCAACTGGAGCTAGTCGCCTCTGTGAACCATTGTGAGTGGGACTCATAATCGCACAGGAATACCTTCATTTAATGGGTTGGCGGGGCCCAATTTCTCCCGGCTTAGGCCATAACATTTCTTATTTGCGATCAGTTTTGGAAATGGTAAGATTGTTGATGACCGACACATCTACCAACTGGACAGCTCTGAAAGTTGCTAATGAGTTGCAGCCGGGACATTTGCCCACGTCGTGCACTTGCTTTCTCGATTATCGTCGCCCTGGTTGCCGATATTTGACCTTAAAAACGCCTCATATCGGGCGGATTCGTGGCTCGTGCACAGCAGCACATGACAGTTTGCGCACATCAGTTCACTCCTCTGCCAGCGCGGCGGCCATTTTCTGCTCCGTCAGCATTGGTTAGTCTCACGGCGCTGCGATGGCTGATCTCCGGCCCCTGAACCTGTTTTCGACTAGTGTCCTTCAACTCTTTCCTGATGTGAAAGTTAGAAGCTTCTCATGTTAGTCGAATGGGAACGTGAATTGATGGTGATATTGCAACTTGGCATGTACACGCCATCTAGCGGAGCGCCTGGCATTACGACGCCTAAAAAATCTTGCAGTACGACTTTTAAAGAATTGCGCCGCTTGGTGCGGATAATTTTTCTGAAGCACGATCAGCGGTTTGAAAGTTATAACTCTTCGACGCTAACTTTAAAAGCATTACTGGCCAGGAAAGGCCGTACCGGGCTGCTTACGCTATCACATTTCCTCAGAACTTCGGTCTCGCTCGCTAAGAATTGCATGTAACCTTCATGAATTGTACGCAGCGGTTGTGTGTACCATGAATGCACCAACAAAGTTTTACCGTTCCAGTTCAGTAACTGGTTCAAGACAGATCTTTTTGTCAGACGGGAATTTAAGATCGATTATGATCGATTGAACATCGGACATGATTTGGTTCAAAAATACGTTTTGATCCGAAGTCGTTTAACTAACTTAGTGTACATTTATGCGTGGTGAACAAACTGAAGGACACCAGAAGGTGTGTAGTACACACCAGGCTTGCCATGTCCTGTATAATCTTACTACGTCTATTGCCAAGTAATATGACATAACTGTGCCACCATACTTCCACCTATTTACTTCACCTCTATCTATGCAATGTAAGTGCTTGCTTTCAATCATCCGTAAAGCAAACCACTATATCAAGTTCGAAGAGGGATACCGTTCGCAAGATAAGTAGCACAAACAGCCTCATTTAAAAAATAGCTTTAGGTGCGCTCTTTAGCCCTCTCAGGCTATTTTCCAAGTAACATATTTCGAGTCGTTCGCAAGTTGAGAATATATTGATTTGTTCCAAATGGCCGGCAAACGATTTACCCCTCTTCACATGGTGATGGAATCGGCTGTACCTGTTTTGCAGGGCAAAAGCTGAAATATAAGTTCTGGCCTGGTAATTTATTTGCTCGAACAAATAGTTCGAAAATATTAGTCAAGCACAAAAAGGGTTAAATCCTATATTTTTGCTTCATCAAAATAAACCGTCTATGCCGCTTTTGGTTTAAATTTTGATGTCGCAATCATGTTAATGCAAATGCTGCATGCAATTTATTTTTTGATTAATGGCGGATGCAGTGTTGAAAAAAGGCAGATTTTCGAAAACATTTGTCATGTTAAGGATATTGTAATCTTGTCCACGCACCTGCTACTGGGATGCCTATATCGGCATCTGGCCACACCGCAGCTCGTTAGCAGGGACAAGCTCTGATACGTCAGTGAGGATAATTGCGTGTCTGGAACGGCGTTGAGGTACGCAAATATAATGACTGCCGCCCTTCGCTATTCTCGTATCCCAGTCCCAGTCCCGTTATCCGACGAATCCACATATGCGGTGCATGAGCTCTATCGTAGCGTCAGTCACTGTTTTATCGATAACATCTGTTCCACATTGCCTAGATCTGAATCAGCACCATAGCCTCTCTTATGTCTTTTCCTGTACACGCCACTTTTACCTCATCATCGACCGCTGCAATATTCGTGCATCGAGGATCAGATAGGCGGCTAGCGAAAGCCTAACAGCAGAAATGTGGGCTGCCAATATCCTAGTCATGTGAATAAAGGTCAACTGATTCCAGCACCGGAATCAATGTCGCTTCTTCATGACGTCTTCTCCCCCTGCATGCGCCTTAATCCACCAATGACAGCCCAGTGCTCATTTATTATATTTTATTATACGTGGTTTATGTCTACTCACTATAAATTCGGTGGTAAATAAGGGTAAATAAGAATGCCAGTCAGCCTTCGGCTTTCGGTTGTCGGAAATGGTACATGAATGTATCGCTTGGAGAAGACAATTTTTTTTGCATGCCCCACAAGTCAAATCTGAGGCCGCCCCTCGGAAATGCGAAGCGCCACAAGTTTGTCTGGATCCGCGAAATCGGTGGGGCAAGAAGAAAAAAATCGGTGTTTCAGCTGAACGGGCCTAGTTCACGCGCCAGGTTGACCTTCCTGGCCAGCCGCCAACTGACCTTTTTAAAGCTGAGGCATACACGCGCTGGCGAACGCGCATTCGTGCATCCGCTTGGGACTTTGGTGCTCGCGTGTATGCAGTGCATATTCGTACACGAGCTTTTTTAAAGCAAAAAGGTCAGCACACAAGTTGGCTGATGCTGCTGATTTGGCTTCCATGGAGTAAGGGAAAAACATCCTGATTTTACTTGGCTGGGATAGGCTTACCACGCAGCAAAACCTTCGCGCAGCACCAGCTCCGCAGAACGGAATCTGAGATCCGCAGGGATGCTCACTGCCGGGTAATTCCCTGTCGCAGCTTTGTCGGCTGGGATTCTACTCAGGTGACTCTTCTCAACAGAAGCATTGCGTACTCGGTCGGGCAACTCGGCTGGCTTGGCCTGGATATAATTCCTCCGCTATTGATTCCGTATTAATTTATTGAAAGGGCACGAAGCCAGCGCTCGCCATGTCGTACCAGAACCCATGAATAATTTCTATCAAATCTATGAGGGCATGAATGTTTTATGGCCCAGGCAATAAACATGTAAATTATTTGCCGCGTTCGTATAGAATTCAGACAGCTCTAATGCGAGTGCAGTGCCCGGGTCACGCATAACGTCCGCCTTTAATGAACCGCATTAAAGCACCACGTGTATAATAGCCATAATTTATAGCGAAAGTTCGGGGCGCTGTAATCCATACTGCAGTATATTCCGGCGCTATATTACACTGCTGTGTGTTGCGAGAACTGCGCCGGAGCGATCGATGGCCTGGCCAGCCGCGCATTGGTCCCTCCTGGCAGCGCTGGCCACTCCACGCATATTATTATATATTATCTTCATCATTATAAGCAGATGGAGGGCAGTCCAATCGCAAAGGCAGGGGAGGACACTTGCTAGTATATACCAGCTTGACACCCGATCGAAGAGCTAGTAGTTGCATGGCTTTTATAGTTTTCCGTCACTTCACCAATCAGAGTACCAGCATATAGCATAAATCTAAATATCAATGACGTGATCGAGGTATTTTGTTTATTTGTAGCGAAAGATAGGACTGCATTGCACAAATACACTGGTATATACCAAATCTGGTACATTTATAGTAGGAAGTGTTGGGCTGTTGCCGGGCGGACGACCGCCCATCTGGCAGCGGGTAATTGTGGGCCGGGTCCCCCGCGCCAGTCTCGCGCCGGAGTCCGCCGAGGTGGGGTCGCGGCCGAGCGGTGTGTGGTGAATCGAGACAGCGTGACCGCGACCTGACTGCTCCGCAGAGCCATCGGCCACCCCCGCCAGCCGCGGAGGGAGCGCCCCCGCGTGTGACGATGGCCGCCGCCATGTCGGCCGGCGCGCAGCACTACTGCTTGCGCTGGAACAACTACCAGTCGAACCTGACGTCCGTGTTCGACCAGCTGCTGCAGAGCGAGTCGTTCGTGGACGTAACGCTGGCGGTGGCTGGCCGCTCGCTGCGAGCGCACAAGGTGATCCTCAGCGCGAGCTCGCCGTACTTCCAGTCGCTGCTGCACGACAATCCCTGCCAGCACCCCATCATCGTCATTGATGAGGTGGCGTTCGCCGATATGCAGGCCGTCGTGCAGTTCATGTATAAGGGCGAGATCAACGTGGCCGAGCAGCAACTGCCCAGCTTGCTGAAGGTGGCCGAGACACTCAAGATCCGTGGTCTGGCCGACGTGCCGGACGGCCAGGCGCTGGCGCGTCGCGCCACGCCGGACGCCGGCGCCCCGCCGCCCCAGAAGCGGCGCCGGCCCTCGGGCGACGTGGCGCCGTCGCCGCCGACGCGCGGCGTCGGCACGCCCGAGCTGCTGGAGCCGGCGACCGAGCCGGCGGCGCCGGCGCCGGCGCCGGCGGCCGGCTGGGGGGCAGCGCGCGGCCCGCCGCCCGCCGCTCGGCCCGGCACCGACGACGCCGAGATCCGGCCGGCCATCGCCGAGATGATCAAGGAGGAGGAGCGGGTGAGTGTGGCCGAGTGCCGGCGCGCCCAGGCAGTGGACGGACCCCCACCCCGACCCGACCCACCTCGAGCACACCCCCGGCGCGAACAGGCCCCCCGGCCCGTTCCTGCCAGCTGTGGGGTCTGTCACGCCTCAGCCGGCCTGGGTGGGCGACTGCTGGGCTGGCAGGAGGAGGACGCGGTCTGAACAGCATCTATCACAGCCCTGTCGCGTGCCGCCTGTTGCAACACGACCTCCGTCACCTGTGCTCTACACGCATCTGTGCCGCATCTCTCTGCGGAACGGTCTGCGTTGGAAGACCCAACGGGTCATGTCCTCACAACTTCGCGGGAGCGCGCACGCCCGAGGCCCAGAGCCGATGCCGTCTGGTGAATGATGTCATTTCATTCTGTCATATCTCCGCGTCCGCGTGGCATATTTTTGTGCCGTTATTTTTCCGGCACGAGCTGTCTAAACTGGCAGTCAAGTCCGGAAACTGACATGCAAAAACTCGGTGAACGACGAGGGTTGAGCTCCTGGATCGATGCTACTGAAGACCTAGGGCCTTGTTTGATGGGCGTTTACTGAGCGCGCGTGACACTCCCGATCTGGACTTCTTAGGCGTATCCACGATTGCCAGACGCAAATGCATCCAAACAGATGCACAATGATAACATTAATTTTAACATTGTGCAGATGCTTCTACGCTGTCCATAAAGTTTTCCCCCATTCCACGTATTGTCATGAAGCGTACTGCGTTTGTGTCCGCGCCGCCTAAGTGGATTGGGGCCGTCAGAGACACATTTTTTTGTTCAGTTCGCGCAGAATGTGCGTCATGCGCCTCTGAGTCATTTGGAGTAAAAATTCTGCGAAGCTTTCGACTTGTCTGAACCCTGTGGGCGGCGAATACGCGGAAGTGGTACTTTCATTATTGCAGCGTTTTCGTCCGTAGCGCTATGGACAAAGACAGAGCGAAAAACCGGCAATATTTCAGGGCGCTAGAAATATGTTGGTGTTGAGACATTATCGTTTGGAATCCGAATGTTATCCTCGTTCCAGGAAGAGCGCAACGTAAGCTGCTGTGGTCGCCTGATCATTTTAAGAAAAGTTTACATTCACTCAGCCCGGTAGAAAGCCGAACAGCGGCGGAAGCCATTTTCATCGTGCTCTTCATTCCGCAAACAGCTGTGACTTAACGGTCATGCACGGCACGGCTCATACGAAGCCATTTGTACGCAAAGAACGACACCAGATGGCGCGCTTTAACATTGCTTCTATGGATGATTTTGCGAATGTCGCCAGACTGTCATGACTTGGTGGCCGCCAGAGCAATGCATTGCATCGCCTCTCGGCGGCGGCAGCTGTGGCTGATGGCAATTCGTATGCGTCACTGGCTCAGTGACGTCACAGATCTGGGCAGGTAGGTCCTGCCACTCATTCAGCGAACGCGTGCCCATCCCATCCGCAACTGTGCCTGCTGGCTACTGAGGTCAGCTTCCGGAGAACGAGATCCGTCTGTCTCCCGACCCGGCGCTGTCGGCCCCCCCCCCCCCCCCCCACCCGGCCCCACGGCCTGGCCAGCCATTTGTTCGTCGTTTAAGAATGGATCGGGCGGAATTGCCGCCGTCGCGCCCGCCACCCGGTGCAAATGCGAGCACGATTACGACGCGTTTACCCACGCGATGTCTCGGGCGAGAGAAGACGCTAAGGCTGAATCGGTCGGAGCGCGCGCACGTTCCGTTTTTGGGAGCTTGTCTTGCAGGCGCGTCAGGTCGGGACGACGCGCCTATGCTGAGGCACGACAGCTCTAACCCGCCTTGTGCGGAAACTGGTGATCGCCGCACAGTGCTGGTGCCGGCACGCGACCAGCCTGGCTGGCTGCGTGGTGACCGGGCCGGCGCCTGGGACCGAGGCCAGGCCGGTCTGTGTCAGGTCGTGTGAGCCCTGGCTCAGGCCTTAGCTGAAGGAGCCCGGCTCAGCCCTGGCCCAGACCTTGGCTGAAGAAGCTCGGCTCAGCCCTGGCTCAGACCTTGGCTGAAGAAGCTCGGCTCAGCCCTGGCTCATTGCAGCTCTGCACTGACTGAGCTCAACTGCTGCCGCCGGCAACACTCTGAAAACGCATTACGACGCACTTGAGCCGCGCGTGTAAGTCTGATTGCTCGTTCAATTGGCCGCAGCAAGAAACTCAGCCGGCGTTTTGTCCGGACGAGACTTCGAGCCACCCCCGCGCAAGCCGTGCTCCGGGTCGCGCCTCATTTCTCCCGGAGGGCGGTCTCGGCGACCGGCCCGGGTCAGCAGGCCGGTCCCGGCCGGGGCTGAGCTCCCGGCGCCTTTGAAGCCGGCCGCCACCTGGCGAGGCGCGCGGTTCGCGGAAGACTGTGTCTGACCGCGGCGTGGCCGGATGTGACGATAACGGACGGCGCGCTGCACCGTCTGATGCGGCGCCACTGGGAAGGCCGGCGGCGCGTTTGGGCGGCGCGACGGCCATTTGTGACGCATTCGAAAACAGCGGCGATAAAAGCCCTGATACGGCTTCCGTCAACACTGCTGTGTCCGGTCAAGTGACGTCATCCTGGCTAGGTCACCTGGTTAATGCACATGCGTGTCATTCTACCTAACCACGCGTGTTTATTTCCTGTTTTTGCCATTGCACACGAGCCTGATCCCATACGGCTACATTTTTTCTTATCATAGCGTCTCCCTGTGCAGGTCAGTCACGCGAGATTGCCACTCCTCCCCCCCGCCCCCCCCCCCCACCAAATGCGTGTGTCCCCTGATCAAACCCACTCACTCGCTGTGCCCCATTGTCCGACTTAATCCTCGCCAGTCATTCGGTGAGCACTAATATCGAGCGCTGGAGAATCAGTTTGTCCCCTTACATACCAACCCGTACGAATGCCGGTAGGTTCGGTATTTATGGTCTATCGCAACGCAGATTTCCCTGTGCTCGCAAGCAGCTCCTCCAGGGAAAGCGGGTCAGTAAAAGTTATTCGCAATGGGAATCAAACTCAGCACATTGGAAAGTCGAAATCCAATACAATTATGACTGCGCTACTGTGTGGTCGTAGCTGCAGGCGATCGCCCGTCGGCCGCAGCAGAAGACGTCTCTTTCACGACAGGCATTTTTGGGCATTTACATCACTGATATTTGCCTTGGGCGCAGGTGCCAAAAGCGAACATTAGTGATGTAAATATCGTCGTCACATATCCTGTCCTCGGACGTGCCGCGGCGGGCGTATTTTGCGCGGTAATGCGGCAAACATAGGAAATAATCAGCGTGGCGTGTGTTTGTGTCGCCCTCTAGACGACAGCCTCTCTCTCTCTCTCTCCTCCTCTCTC